AAAACCAGATTGCAGCCTTATGAACGTAAACGACTAGGGACGATCTGCACGGCCTCCGACTGTTCGGGCTACGGCTCAGACCTGATTGCGTACAGGTTATTAGGGCTGCAAGGACGTGCGCGTCCAGCGCAGATGTCTGAAATCGATCCGCACAAAGTGGTGTTGCATGAGGCAGTGGCCAAGGCCTGTGGCTGGGACGTGCAGCCTGCCATGACTAGTGACATGTTTCTGCGGAAACCGGAAGAATGTAAGAGGTCGGATGTGTACGTGGCAGGGTTTCCATGCCCATCCTTTTCCAAATTGGGAAAAGGACAAGGCATTCGCGACCAAAGAGGCTTCTTGACATTGAAAGGGATGGAACACATTGCTTTGACACGACCAAGGGTCATTGTCCTCGAGCAAGTGTCTTCCATTCTTCAGAAAAAACATGAAAAGGTTTGGAATTTTATCCTCAAGACTTTGCGATCTTTGAACTATGATTTTGTCTACAAGGTGATGAACACTCGAGAACTCGCCGTGCCGCAAAGCAGGCCAAGGGTGTATCTTCTAGCAGTGGTGCAAGAAGTCGGGCAAGGTACTCTGGCCCTACCAGAGAAACGTTCCGTTCCAGTGGACTTGCATCATTTCCTCAGAGAGGACCAAGTTGGCACAGAAATTTTGCAGCTTCCCAGATACGAGCAACTCCTGGGAAAAGAATTGTGGCTGAAGGGATTTATATTAGATGTGGGCGCAAGCCCACGTTGGCAGCATGTGGTCCGGAACGCAGCACCTTGTCTGATTAAAACCCGAATGGCCCAGCAGGGATATTATATCCCAAAACTTCGAAGGAGGCTTTTGCCGGAAGAGGCTGCGGCCTTGCAAGGTGTTCCTGCTCGTGTCTTCGCCGCAATGAGTGCTGCTGCAAAGGACAATAACATTCCTTTGTCAGCAGTCGCTGGCAGCCTGGGAGATGCCATGTCTGTAAATGTTTTGGCCAGTGTTTTGATGCGTGGTTTGAATCATGCTGGTCTTGCCAAATTTGGCCCAAAGCAAGACTACTGGCGCCTGGTCGAGAACGGACCATCTGCTGCTCAGCTAAGTGATCATTTGTTCCTGCATGGTACGCCATGCGCGAGCAACCGGTGAACGCTGCAACGGTTAAACGGCGCAACGGTTGAACGGCGCCCCCCTCTCGCGGCTCTGGCCCGGGCTGGAAGTGCTGAGAGGGGCCCGGCACGCGTGATTGGCTGCAGCGTTGGATGTGTATAGAGACTGGGGAAATCCCAGTCTACTCACTCGAGTCTGGCCTGGTCTGGGTCCGAGAGAGAAAGGTAGTAAAACTTGCTCGCGTGATTGGAAGTGATTGGACCCACCATGCGTTCGACCATTTCCACTCTTCTCTCTCGAGTCTGGCCTGGTCTGGCTCCGAGGAAGCAAGCTGGGGGAATCCCAGTGTCCTTTCACCATCTGCGTTATGAAGTCATTGACGAGAGGGCATGGGTCGGATGGACTGCGGTGGTCGAAAAGGAGTGGGAAACGCGGCTGTGTTTGTTGAGAAAGGAGTGGGTATTGTCGAGAGACGAGTGGTTTTGGTCGAGAGTATTTGTAGGGAATCACATCTTATGATTTGGTGAAAATCACATCAGTAAAGTCTTTAGAGCTCGACTTGCACCGCTGCATCTTTATTTTTACAGCTGTTATATAGCTGTTTGGGATCAAAACTACGCGAGAGATCTACTCGTCTCAACCTGGCCGTGGGCAGACATGGACATCCCCAATGTGAGTTCTTGGCGGCTCAACAAAGCCGAGAACCAAGAGTTGAAAGACCGGGTGATAGCTGGTGAGACTGAGTTGGACGTGAAGCGTGAAATTCAAAAACGCAAGGCCGTGGCTTGCGAGGAGCGGAAAAAAGCAGCAGCGGCCATTGCTTCAAAGCCAGGGCCCTCGGCGGGGAAAAAAAAGAAGGAGCCTATTATTGCCACGGCTCCCAATCCCAGAGCAGCTTCCAATTTTCAGACTGAGTCAGACCCGACCAATGCTGCATACTACGCAGCTGTCGAGTCGGATTTGCAGACAATTTTGAAGGAATTCCCTGGCTTGGAAGATGAAGCACCGCTTCCTTTGTCTTCCACAGAGACGGACAAGTCCCAGTCCGGTGTGCAGGAGCCATACAACTTGGAGAAAGGCAAGAACGCCTTGCAGTTGCACCAAGTGTACCGTTGCTGCATGTCCCTCTTTGCCTTGAACGTGGTGGGGTCACCAACCCCTGGCATTCCAATGAGTCGAAGAAGGGTCCTTGACATGAGCGCATTTTACTACCCGAATTCAGCCCCTGCCTACATGACAGGCCGGCAGGTCGAAGTGTGGGCAGACAGACACGCCTTGAGCGAAAAGCCCAAGAGTTTGCAAATGGTTTCCCCCGAGGAACTCGTTCACAGCATGATTGCGGCTTGCGCTGAAGCCATTCGGTGTCTCGTCTGCACATTTATTTTTGTACTAATCCTATGTTTTTTTCTGACCACATTGTTCATTTGTTATTAAAGCCTCTCGCTCAGGAAGAAGGGCGACATGAAAGCTGACCAGTGGGACGCCTGGCGTGCCAAGTGGAAGAGTTGCTTGCTCAGCATTCCGGTCTCTATCTTGGACTCCGGCTCTGAGAACGAGCCTGACCGTGTGTGGGTCAAGGCCTTCAACCGCCGACAGACCGTGAGACAGGAGCACGAGTCGTTGGTTCGCACTGCGATGCAAACTGCGCTCGAAATCGACCAGTTTCGAGTGATTTGTGAAAATCAACCGGGGTGCAAGGGGCGGCTTCAGCCCGCCCAACTGGCAGAAGAATTTGTCAAGCTTGGGGTAGCCTCGGTGCAGGGTGGCACTCGAAAAGATGGTGAAGACGATGGGCGCCTCACGGCCAACCTCATCAGTCAGGCCCTGGCAGTGAAAAAAGGCATTTTGGGTTCACCGCGAGCGGTGGAGATTCTTTTGGAGATGGAGGCTGCTTATGGCACCAGGAGTCCGTTTCAGCACATGAGTCGGTTGCATGCGGCTTCGACGAAACCCTCCACCCCGCACATGCGAGATTGGGTGCTCGAGTCTCTGTGGGACTGCCTGCAACAGAACGCATTGCAAGCTGGTGACATCACTAAAAGCTCCTTGACCGGCGACAAGCATCACGCGGGCCTGGTGGCGCTCTTTGAGCTGAAGAAGAAGGCATGCGCTGTCCATTTTTTGTCGTATCATGTCAATGTTGATGCTTTCCCTGCCAGGTGTGTGACCACTTCTTTGACATTCTGCTGCCCAAGAGCGGGATGCCAGAACCAGATCGTCAGCTTCTGAAAGAGAAGACCTCCAAGCACGACGTGTACAGGGCCAACTCTGGCGACGGTGACTGCTCCTGGATGTCGCGCTTGAACAAATCTGCCATTGAAACGTTCCGCCTGCTGGAGGCGCGGCGCTTGTTTTTCTTGCATCCCCTAAAAAATTGAAAAGTGATGATCGTTTCTGCTTCTCAGGACCTGGTCTTTGGCCGAAAGTTTGACAACTCCTTGAAACAAAGTTGCAAAGCCTGTGCTGTGGCAGAGGCAGCTATGGAGCATGAAAATGTATCGTCGGAATGGAACAAAATTCTCGGCCTTCTCAAGAACGAGGAGATTGAGCGGAAGACAGCGCAAGGGCTGATGGCCGAAAAGGAGGAGGGCGCAGGCGAGGCGTGCGAGCTCGAGCTTCTGCGAAAGCCGCCCCAGCAGCATTCCGAAGGTTCCGAGAGTTACTGGAAAGCAGTGGCTAACCAAACAGTGAGAACCTACTGCTGCTTCAATCCAGAACCTAAGACCTTGGAAGGAATGATCTCGTGGACTTCGAGTGTGCTTCAAGAATTCCACGGTGAAGTTGGGAAGAGCTGTGTCTTGACGCACTTGGACTTGGACGCTTTGGGCGAGAGTTTGGGGCCCAGTCAGCAAGCCCTGCTGAGGAAGCGCTACAACCCTGACAGTGCCCTCCTTCGCAAGTTAGTCCATGGAAGCATGATTGGCAGAAACGCACAGCGCAAAGAAGATGAAGCAACGTGCCCTGCCGAAGGCGAGTTGTTGATGGTGCACACCGGGTTCGACAGAACGTCCAAGGACATAGAGTCGCTCTTTCGCCCGTCGACTGCTCGAAAGGATGCTCCGTTGGAGGCAGAGCTGAAGGAACTGATGATCGTCTTCACGGACAAGTCCATTCGAAGTCGTAAGAAGAAGGTTCGTGGTTCCTATACGACCAGGTCCCAGGCCTGTCTGATTTCTGCCGTGCCCTTTGCAAACCTGCTTCCAGAGAAAGCCTACCCGGAATTTGGTGGCCACAACACCGCAGACGTGTTCTTCGGTGTGACAGCCCTGCAGCCGGAAGAGCTTTTGTGCCTCTCCAGGACTCACCGGATTTTCTTTATCCTCCATGTCAGTAAAATTTATATTTTCCGTCGCCTCTGCAATAGATACACCATCGCGGTAAAAAAAAATAAAACACCATCGAGATATTAATACTACTTACCCGATAATATATATATATATAAATATTCACCCCTTCATATTTAATATGATAACCCATCGATATCGATATGTATATTATTCCTTCCACCGATTAGCTATTGTCACCCCTATATGCCCTGGACGAAATATTTTCCCCTAGGATTTTTTTTTTGCAATTTCCAGGAAAGAAAAGGAAGAGATTCTGGGCGTCGACCGGGTCGTCTCTGTCACAGAAGCTGCAATGGAGAAAGGGAAGTCACAGGACGTCCAAGCTGCGACTGAGAGTGTCTTCAGCGGGCCGGCTTTGCCTCAGGCCTTATACAGGAGTTTTCTGAAGGCGCACAGCGTCAAAGCCGTGTGCCTTGGTGGTTGCACCTCATGTTACGGAAACAAATCGACATGCCTGAATGTTCCGTTTCTTTTTTCTTATCCTTGCAGTTGTCATCATTGAACTAAGGCTGGATTTGTCGAGCTCGCAGGGTGAATTAGCGAAAGCATGCGTTGCTGAACGCATTCCTTTCGCAGGGCTGACTCTGTCAGAGCCCCACTCCACCAAGTTAGAAGTCATGCTGACGGAGTTCGTCCTGTCACTCATGCAGTCGGAAGGAAGCACGTACTATCGTGCAGATTCCTCGGCCATGGCCTCGGAAGTTTCCAAAAAGCGCAAGCACACTGGAGAGGAGGGTCAAGAGGACACAGGTCCAAAGCCCAAAACCAAGTCCAAGGCCAAGGCAAAAGCGAAAGGTACGCCCACAGAAAGCCAGTCCAAGGACACGGCAGCAGAGACGGAGGAAACGGAAGCGCCTGAGGTCGGCGAGGAGGACGACTTGCCTTGGTAGAGGTGACGGCTGCGCGTTTTGTTTTGTGGCTTTTTGAGACTGGTTAATCGCGGCGATTGTCAGCAGAGCCTTGCCACGAAAACCTCGTGGCCACTGAGACGTGTCTCGGTCGTGCATTGAAAGCTGACCGTGAGAGGTTGAAAAATCGCTGTTATCGACAGCCTTGGCTGCGCGTTGCGGTTCGGGTTTCATTCGACTGACCCCCCACAAAAACAAAAATCATTTTAATGGCAATGTAAATAAATAGTATGATTTAAGGGGAAGAATACAAAACTATATACCGTAGTCCTTCCGAGTCCACTCTGATCAGTATCATGTGTCATGCAAATTTAAAAATGAATTCGCTATAATAATTAACAGACACATAAAAAGTTTCCGACCCTTTGAGAACCACAGGGGTTTTTACCATCTCCGAGTCTGCTGCAGACCCATGGTCATGTCTGTATTTTGGCTCAAGCACCGACAACTGGAACGCACTGAATCCCAGGGACATCCGCGAAGACCACAGGCGCGGACATGTTTGGGTGGTTTTTTTGTCGGATTAAATGCATATAATTGGTTTGACGGATGCAGCCAGGCATCTGCGGATGCTGGTCGCTGCGTACTTGCAACGGTCTACGGACCGGGTCGTGAACACATCTCATACAGGGAGGTGTGACCGATCTGAGGACTTTGTGCAGTCTACGGACTGGGTGGATCTACGGATCTGGTAAAAAGTCGTGTCTAAGGACACAGACTACTCGGATCTCAATCGGTCTACGGATCGGGTTTTAAAGTGTCTAAGGACACACAGGTCTACGGATCTAGTCTAAGATCTACGGATCTCATCGATCTACGGATCGAATCGTCCACGGACATACAGTATAGGGTCTACGGACCGTGCCAAGCAGGAGGACAAGTAATCAGCTTTTCCAAGTTACAATGGCATTACAATATTTATAGTTATCTTGCGGCTAGTACTTTTTATGGTAATTAGTAGTATACTTAAATTCATCAGCCCCCCGGCCCGTCTCGCTGCAGGCAATGGGCACAACTAAGAAGGCCAACGACGACAAGGACCGGAAGAAAGCCGACAAGGGTGACCGACGCCGAGGTCGGAGCCGTGACCGGCGCAGTGGAGCCGAGGCGCCTAAAAGGAAAGACGGCAGGAAGCAGAAGACACGCAGCCGTTCGCGCCCACGTTTGCGCTCAGCTGAAGCTGTGTCCGCCGAACGGCCAACCAAGACGTCTTCCAAGGAAGGCAAGGACCACGGTCGCCGAACGGTCGAGAAAGGCGGTGGGGACCACGTCTCCTTGACATCAGACGAGGAATCCTCCGAGTCTGAACGACCCAGAGTCGACGATGAGGCAGTCGACGACGACGCTGACAAGGAAGGTGACGCCGCCACTGAGCCTGCCACGGCAAAGCTGGAGCCGGCTGCGGCCGCATCGTGTCCAGAAGGACCAGGAGAAGGGAAGGACCAAGTCAAGGAGCCCACTGGAGCGGAGGCCGGACGTGGCCCGTCCAAGCCCCGTTCCAAAGTGTCGCTGCGGTCCGCGACGCGACCACGGTCGCCTCAAGGACCTCCTCCGCAGACAGACGCCTCCGATCGGGACAATGACAATAAGCACGGGAAATGGCGGCGGGGAGGCAGGCAGTTTCCAACACAAGAGATCCGCCTACCACCTCAGCAGCTGGGTCTGGTATAAGACCCAAGCTGAAGGGGGTAAGCGAAGTTGGAAGGACTGCCAGGCTGACGGAGAGCGATGGGCGAACTCGCTGTGGCGAGAGGGCAAGACCGGCCCAGCTGACTTCGCGGATTCAGCAAAGAGGCAGGCCCGTCCACCGCCCATTCGCAGCGACGTGGAACGCAAGAAAAGAGATGGCCCTGGACCTGGGCCTGACAAAGGGCCCGGATCTGGGTCGTCCGCTGGTGGATCTGCGACCTTGCTGGTCTCGATGTGGGAAGCCACCCTCCGAGAACTGAAGGGGTGAGCGCTCCCGGTTCAGAACTCCAAAGCCTGCGGGCCAACTGGATGGGAATTTTAAATTTGGCCTGCGGGTCGACAGAACTGGCTGAAGGTGGCTTTAAGTCGTACAGCACTTAGGGTCTCTCAACTAGAAACTGTCGAACTGACAAGACTTCGCAAGGGGAAAAAAACACGCTGGCTGCTTTCTAAGGTGGCCCCCATGAAGTGGTTGGCTTCTGTATATGGCACTGTGGATGTTAAGGTTTAGCGTTATAACCGAAGTTTACAATATTAGAATGACATTCACCGGGGAAAAAGTTGGTTGCGTTCCAGGAACAAAGTTTTACAATGTTAGAATACTTGGGAAAACAATTTGTTGCGTTCCAGTGTTACTCATGGGTCTAGGTTTGCAATATAGTGTTGGGAACACAGTTTGTTGCATTCCATCCTGATGTTTTTGATGCTGTTTATCGTCACGCACACATCGTTATCCTCATATGGTGTTCCAGGAAAATAATGATTCAGCATTACACCAGAGATGGCTGCAAGCTAGGTCCGGAAGGCATGATGGGGTTGTCAAACCAGATTGTAGTGTTGCTTGGTTTCAAGCCTCTCTGGCACGCAATCCTCCCAGCGAAATACAGCGCCAACAACGACAGCCGCAGGGGCAACGACAACAACAACAACAACAAGGACAAGGACACGGACAAGGACCACGACAACAACCACAACAACAACACCAACAACCAACAACAACGACGTCGACGACGACGACCACTACTACTACCACCACCACGACCACCACCACTACTACGACTACTACTGCTACTGCTACTGCTACTGCTACTACTACTACTACTACTACTACTAGTACTACTAGTACTACTACTAGTACTAGTACTACTACTACCACTACTACTACTACTACTACTACTACTACTACTACTACTACTCGTCGTGCTGCTGCTGCTACTACTACTGCTGCTGCTGCTGATACTGCTACAACTATACTGCCACTACCAAACCAACAACAACAACAACAACAGCAACAGCAACAGCAACAGCAACAAAAACAACAACAACCAACAACCAACAACCAACAACCAACAACCAACGACAACGACAACAACAATGACAACGACAATGACAACGACAATGACAACAACAGCAACAACAGCAACAACAGCAACAATAGCAACAACAGCAACAACAGCAACAACAGCAACAACAGCAACAACAGCAACAACAGCAACAACAGCAACAACAACAACAACAACAGCAACAACAACAACAACAATAACAACAAACAGGGCAACAAACAGGCAACAACAGACAACAAACAGACAACAAAATGCAACCACGCAACCGCTGAACAGCGGCAAGTTTTGTTGTCCTCGTGACAGACGGGTGTTCAATGAGTTCTGCTGCAATTTGGGTGGAAGAGACCGGTTCTTTCGCAAAGAGCGGGACGATAGCTTCCATGCCCACCACCGCCAGCGCTACTATCAAATGCGGCGTGACCACGGTCCTCGATGCAAAAAGGTCCAGGGCTGTGTTTGGGGCCTTGGAAACATCGAACTTTGCTGCTTCGGAAAGAGTTTCTTGCACAAACTGGTGGACTCTGATTGGTGCCTGCCGAATTCTTGCGCCATCGATGAAGAAGAGTTTGTGGTATGAGTTCAGGAGAGGCCAATGAGCTTTGCTGGCTCGCGATGGAATGAGCTTAGACCTCGCCAATGCGAAATATGTGTTGCAACATAGAAGTTGCTGTGCTGGTCTGCATGTGTCAATCCCAATTCATTACTTTGCCATACTTAGCGCGCATTGCGGAGGATTCAGCATGTTCAAAACTGCAGCCATTTGGTGGCCAAAACTGAACGGCGGCAGTTATGGCTGTGGCAAAATCACCGACCTGTTACACAAGCAAGACATGAAACGATATGTTCTCCTCAAAAATAAGACAATCATCGGTAGCCAAGCCGTTAAGCCGGTTTTCGACGCTCGCCATGGGCTGCGTCGCTAGCAAATCAGCTCCCCATGCCTTTGCGCCTGTGCCCGGCCGAGTAAACATGTTTCGGAAAAGCTAAAGTCTACCCTGGGGTTTTAATTTTTGGGTTTGAATGCAGGGAATGGGAAGTGCGCTTAGAACCATCCCAACCTTCATTGAAACTTGTTTAATCTTATTTGAAATTTATCCAATCTTCAAGGAACTTCGGAGCTGCGGACGGTAGAGAAGAGATGTGAATTAGAAGAAATGTCAAAAAGAAGAGATGTCAATAATAGGTTGCTATCATTGATGATGTTTTGATATTCAAGATTCAATTCTTCTGTCAAAGAGTTGAAACATGTGCTGTCAATTTTTATGGCAACAGTTCGCTGAGCTCTCGTGGTCGGTACAGCGGACTGACTTGTAAAAACGCTGTTTGGTCACTTAGACTTCGACCCGTCGCCATATTCTGCACCAAGTTATGTCTTTTTTTTCACGGGTGTCGCGCCTAATCTCTTATTTGTGGCAAGTTTAATCCCTCATAAAGTAAACCAGGTTCGAAAATCCTACAAATAATCTAGAAGCTGAATTGCCCACCTTCCACTGGAACCCGCTTTGCGATTGTAAACTTTAGTTTGCTCCCTTTGCGGTGTATTGGGTTACTCATCCCGAGGCCTTGGAAGATGGAAAATCTGAGGGTGCTGTCATGGGAGGCCGTGGGCCAAGCATCATGAGAGCCGCCGAAAGACTAAGCTTTTGCTGCAGGAAGTGTCGCAGGAACTGTTTCTTCTGAACCAAACCTTGTCGCATGCGCAAATCCAACAGACAACGCGATGGCTCTTTGCCCCTGGAGGTGACAATACGCCTGGCGCTCGCTCGGTGGACCCAAGGGATCAAGGCATCAGGGAGTGCTTTATTATTTGGTCAGTCGGGGGCCCTCCGCAATTTGTGGATGAATGGTGTGATGACCATGCGCGAATGATTTTTCACAGTTTCACAATTTTTCTTGAACAGCCATGTGTGCCAGCTGCAGGAGGATGTGCCAAGGCTGATGGAAACGCCC